AGCTCATTCAAATTATTTTGGTTAATATTTCAAATTTCAGATTCTGGACGTTTCATTTAACAGCAATGGGCTGATTAAGAGTTTTGTTTGCATTTTCCTTCTGGTTATACGAGAACTGCTCTACCTGAGCAGAGATACACAGTTACGGTCCAGACTACAACTCTAGATTAATTGAAATAATTCTCTTTAATCTGATGCAAACCATAATTCCTGTTTGCTCATTTATGTTATGTTTCATGTGCTTTCACATAACTTAAGGCCTTGTTTGGATGTCCATGTATCCACCTCAATCCATGGATTGAGGTGTGGAGGTGGATACATAAGCATCCAAACAAGGCCTAAGTATGATATGTAAGTGGTGGCTTTTCAAGATAACTGCTATACTGATCCTTTATGATGTTTTTTTACAAAAGCATTGTTATTTATTTTTCCAACTGGCTTCCAAATTTTGTATGTCAAGTAAATACACATTATCCTCTGGAACTGCAGCTAATGTGAATCTAGCAGATTTTTTAGTTCTACTGTTACATTTTCTTACTGAACTGTTGGTTTAACAACTGTTTCTGTCTATGCATGATGTTTAGTATTGTTTGTGTTTTTATGTTAGTTTCTATATAATCTTCCCCTTTCCAGGCCTATATGTTCAAGTATGACTCCACTCATGGCCTATTTAAAGGTTCTATTCGGGTCGTGGATGATTCAACCCTGGAGATCAATGGGAAGAAGGTCACAATTACAAGCAAAAGGTAAAGGTCACATCAGTATCTTATTTGCCTATTGTACATGGCATTGTTATATTGCAGTTGTACTAGTAAGGTTGGATTTGGTAAATACTTGTGGGTAGATACCTCTTTCTGTGCTATGGATGGATTGTGCTTGGATTACTTGTAATCACTTGAGAAATGTTTATTTCAGCCTGTTTCGAAGGCACAACTCAGCACACTTTATAACTTGTAAGCTTGCCATGCAGTATGCCAAATTTCTTTGATCTGTTAAAATGTTCAGCACTTTATGTAGACATACAATGTTTGTAAAAAAATTACTTATGCTATTTTTGGAGCACAAGCATGGCACTGTTGTATTTCTGGAGTACTGCACTACTACCATCTTTTGCGCTTCTCATAGTCATATAATGATTTGCTTGTGTTTTTGCATTAGTATTTCTTGGTCTGCAGTTTTACCATTTTTTACTCCAACATATGTCTAAGAACTCGCAACTTTTTGCTTCAATATTCCAGAGATCCTGCAGAGATTCCATGGGGTAGCTTTGGGGCTGAATATGTTGTTGAGTCTTCTGGTGTCTTTACAACAACTGATAAAGCATCAGCACACTTGAAGGTTTGTATACCAGACTACCAGTCTTTAACAATGGCATCTAATTAACTAACTACATATCTTTTCATATCGAAAACATGTTGAGGTTTCTGATGCCTTGTTTGCAGGGCGGCGCTAAGAAAGTGGTGATATCTGCACCATCAGCAGATGCTCCCATGTTTGTAGTTGGAGTTAATGAGAACAGCTATGATCCAAAGATGAATGTTGTTTCTAATGCAAGTTGCACCACGAACTGCCTTGCTCCACTTGCCAAGGTCATTTTTCTTATTGCTTTCATTTTACCAGTGTCCAGTTTCTGCCAACAACAGTTCTTGACAATCACAATAAATGGCTCTTGTGGTTCATATTTTCTGCCTTTCCAAACAACTAATTTGTTGACCACGGTGTGCAGGTTGTCCATGAGGAATTTGGCATCGTGGAGGGGCTTATGACAACTGTTCATGCCACAACAGGTTGGTTACTGGCTTTCCTCCAGTGTCTACCTGTTAAGTCATTTGCCATTTTCATGCATTTTCAAAATAATTGTCATGAAAATGTTACTTTACCATGTTCAGCCACCCAGAAGACTGTTGATGGTCCTTCGATGAAGGATTGGAGAGGAGGACGCGGTGCTGGCCAAAACATAATTCCTAGCTCCACTGGTGCAGCAAAGGTAGCTGAAGCCAAAGGCACACCATGCTTACTTTAAACTCAAATTTGCACTGACTGGTTTTGCTTTATTGTCAGGCTGTTGGGAAAGTCCTACCTGAGCTGAATGGAAAGCTCACTGGCATGGCCTTCCGAGTTCCAACACCAAATGTCTCTGTTGTGGATTTGACATGCCGGATTGAGAAAAATGCCTCCTATGATGATGTGAAAGCAGCAATCAAGTATGTAGAAGTACCTTGTTACTTCTGTCTAGTTTCAGCTTCTGGCTTGTTATTCCGATGAGTGAAAGCACAACTTCTTGATAAATTAGTAATCAATAATTTGAAGGCCCACATAATGGTCATAGCACTTTATTTGCATCAACTAGAGGTAGTTGTAGCATGTGTTAGATCTGGAGAGGGGTAACAAAATATCTCGGTTCAGCATCTTGCTCACTGTAGGCTGCACACTTGGACAGTAGGTATCTCAATTGCATGCTCATGTTACTCTGGCCACACTAGAAATTCTGTGTGAACTTCATTTGAAGTGTGTTCTACTGCAGTATTCCTAAGATTTGTGCAGAGAACCATGTGCACATTATCAACCAACCTAGAGTGGACCTTACACACAATGTCTTTATTCCAGGGCGGCATCAGAGGGTGCACTCAAAGGTATTCTTGGCTACACAGACGAGGACGTTGTTTCCAGTGATTTTGTTGGTGATTCTAGGTGACTACTTCAATCCAGTGATGTAATCTTTGTACTGTCGGTTGGGAAGGTAGCTGAAATCACTATCATTGCCTTTGTATATCAGGTCAAGCATCTTTGATGCCAAGGCTGGTATTGGACTGAGCTCTTCTTTCATGAAGCTCGTGTCTTGGTATGACAACGAGTGGGGCTACAGGTAAGAGTTTGCTACTTATTTCATAGCGTCATTTGTAGGTTAAACCTTCCATTTTCCTAAGAATGCATGCTCTTTGTTCGCTTTGACAGCAACCGGGTTCTGGATCTGATCGCCCACATGGCTCTTGTCAGCGCCAAGCACTGATGTTCGTACTCGTTCCTCCAGTAGTAGCCTAGGAAAAAGGCTGCAATTTTGACGGCTATTTTCTTTAGCTGTTGTTTGGAATAAGATAAAAAAGTTGGAACACTTCCAACTCGCGCAAAGATGGACTCAGCTCCATGACCTGTATTTTAGTTGTAGAAGGGGGCAAATTTGCACCGTTGTACCCTGGCATCGTTATATGTGGAATTGTTGATTGATGAGTCGTATGGTTCGTCGACATGATGTTTTGTTATGTTGTGTGAGCCCTTGAATGAGTTGATATTAATTAGCCCTTTAATGATTTTTTTAATCTTGCTAAAATTCCTAGATTGGGAGACTCTTGGGTACTCTTGGAGATGCTTTTACACCGTATTTGATCATAATTTCACAAATATAATTCCCTGAACGTTTTACTGCAGCTAAGCTGAAATGCTTTACAGTAAAAACAAAGAGACAACGTATGTTTATTTGCAAATGTGTCGAAAAGGATAACGTTGAGCTTGACATAGCAAACAATCAAGAGCAGCTGAAACTAAGGTGTAGTTGCGAACTAGCAGCAAAAATCGAGAAGTAATTACCAATTCAACCTCATTACTAATAGTACGTCGCTCATCCCAACCTTTCCTTCCACACGTGAAAACAACTAAACAACGATGCCTTTTTCATGGTCTAACTTTCACATAAATATATATGATCAGTATAAATCCGTCAAACAGACTTATTTGCTTAGTCTTGCCATCTAAGCCTGGAGTGCCGCTCTTCCGCTCACCATCAAACACAATTTCAGATTTACTGAATTTCATATACAATCATAAATTCACATATATACAATGTTTAAACAGCATATACAGCCCCGTGCTAACGGAAAAACAAAAAGACAATATGTTTAAATATAATTAATCGTTGAGCTCATAGCAAATATATAATCAATATTTTCATAGGGTCTAGCCTCCGCTTGGCGTGCCACCATTCGTCCTCCACTTTACATCGCTCATCCCAGCCTTGACTCTCCCTCCACGTGTGATGGCCCTGCAACAATGCCTTCCTTGGTCTGCCTCCACTTTGCTCGAAGCAAGCACGTCAAGAGACACTTGCATCTTGCACAGCCAGAGTCCGCTTTCCCTCACCATCAGACCTTCAAATTTACTGTGATATCATTAATACAGAAATAAAGATATGGCATATTTAAATGATTCAGAGGCCCTTCAAAGGAAAAAAAAAAATTTTGATATCATTAAATATAATTAATTTCTTAAGGGCAGGCTTTACAATTGATGAATATTGTCCAATCGTGAATCACCAACTAGGGGTTCAAAAGATTCATCTCCGTGATTTTAACTAAAAAGCTTGTAATTAGTTATTTTTTTTACCTATATTTAATACTCCATGCAAGCTAAAAATTGATGTGATGGAAAGTGTGAAAAATTAGTTTTTTTAATGGCATCTAAACAAGGATTCTTGATACAAGTATTAGTGGAGAACCCTCTATTCCGTTTTACCCAGCGCGAGAGGCATCACACCAGATACCAAGACGATATTAACTCATATATATATAACTCTCTTGCCTATTTTATGCGTTTTTTCACTCCCAAAATTAATTGGCGCTCATTTTCTCTCCGTTGCCTACCTGCAGCGCGAGAGGCATCAACCCTTCGTTTACCAAGACGATATTAAATCATCCATCGATTAACCTCCGTTGCCTACCTATCATGCGTTTTTTGGTCACTCCCAAAAATTAATTGGCGCTCATTTTCTCTCCGTTGCCTACCTGCATGCGCGGAAATTTACGATCATGAGCAACGCATCGTTTTTGGTAAAACAAAAAATGGGTGTAATTAAATGATCCTCGATAACCTCAGGGGTTTCGCCATCCATTAAATAGACTAATATTGGTAAAAGAGAAAAAGTTTCATGGGAGTAGAGAGAGTTTCATGCGGATGGTAAATTTCGGGATGGAGGATAACGTGGCCATACAATTCCCATTGAGACTGACCTAATAACATATAGACATCTGCAACATAGGTTCTAAGAAGTGAAGGCTTGCCTGAGATGATGATAGGCCTCCAAACCTATCAATCATCTGAAGGCACATCATGCCATCCAACCAGCTATCAATCCATATAGATATCTGCAACATAGGTTGTTAGAAGTGAACAAATGCTCGCTTGAGATGATGATAGGCCTCCAAACCTATCTGCATCTGAATGCGCATCATGCCATCCAACCAGCTGTCAATCCAGAGCTCCTCCTCATGGCGGTCCACACTTAAAAGTGGATGCCAAAGATCATCGACATGGCTAAGGGGCCCTCAGAGGAAGGCATATCATGCCATCTTCGCTCAAAAAAAAAATGAAATTAAAATTTCTTTGATGAGATGTAGTTCATTCATATTGAACTGACAATTTTTCTATTGCCATATATCACAGTTGTTCATAACAGGGTGGATCAAAACTCAGATTTTGTGTCAAACTCCAATTAGAACAAGGCATCCATATGAGTGCATACGTCTTTGAATGTGACATAGGCTATCCTTCCTGTTACCAAGCCGTCACTGCAACCACCAACCACATGGACAAAAATTGCAGTTGAAATTACAAGTTGAAAGGAGAATGTTAGTAAAAAATAAATTAAGCAAATAACCGACCAATGAAATCAAGGGGTGCTCACAGTGTGATGTTGAATTGTTTGATTTCACCAGGAAAGGAGGACAACCCTTGCACCTCCCACTCCATTGCCAGAAAATGGAAACCCATGAAAATGGCGGAGGTTGGCATACCTGTATTTACAACAAAAATAGGAAAGAGTTGAGAGATTTCTTGTAAATATTAGCTTACAAATAATAGCCAGGACATTCCTAAGGTAAAATTAGTATGGTGAATCCTCCAGTTTTGGCAAGGAAGCAAACTGCCGAACATTACTGTTTTGCTTAAGATGCACAATTAGTTGACAGAAAGGTTCACCAAAGCACACAATTTGAGGAAATCACAAAGTTGGGAGAGAGAAAAATGAAGAATTCAACAAGTGATCTTTGTTTCACCAAATGTTAAATTATAATTTCATAAGAAAGAAGAAAAGATGTTGGCTATGGCTAAATCTTTCAGGAAAACATGACTCTAAATCAATCAGTGATTTTATATACCCATGGTGCCTGCACAGAATTTCAAAAGCCACAATATTTCTTTACTGAAAAAAGCATGGGTGCAATACCTTAGCAAAATACTTTGCTGGGTTTTCCGCGCATCTAAGGATAGTCAAAAGTGCAAATTCAATGTTTCTAGATGTTTCGCTCTTGATAACCTATCATATATAAAGGGCACTGTGAAAAATTCCAGAGAATAACGATTTGAGCTAATTGATTCAAACCATCAGTTCTCATTGGTGAATATATGGTACATTTAATTAAACATATTGGTACAGCTAGATTAACGATTTGATTATTTAATAAAGGGAACAATCCTTAAAGAACTTTTCATGCCTTGTGGTTTCCACTGAGTTCAGACGAAATACGCTAGGAGAGTTCCTCATGATACATAGCCCTAGGCCAGTTATAATGCATAACAAGGAATTAGTCATGGCCGTCAATCTATCAACATGTACACAAAGATCAAACCTGAGCAGCTTTGTAAGCATTCATGGTGCTCTCTGCAGCATCCTTCCTCTCCGCACCTGACTTGAACTCAGCAAGGTACCAGCAAAATAATTGTGAGGAGAAATCAGATACCAAAATATACGTGCAGTAGGGGGTAAAAAATCCATAAATCACAAATTCATATCCTTCAATCTTATCTATAAATTTAGACCTAATCAGATCATTAAATTTAGACCTAATCATCACCAAAAACTCAGGCCCCTATCATCCCCACACGAGACATCTACATACAGATCTTAAGTTTTGGCTTCTTCAAACCACAACTCCCATAGTCCATATTCAAAACCTTTAAGTCCCATGGTCCATATACAAAGGCCCCAAATCAGATTGTGCTGCCCCCACAGATAATAACCAGCAATAAACAAGGATTCAAAACCCCCGCTAATCTAAATCCTAGACACAATGATCCCTCATATAATAAGCAAAAATCCATCAACTCTGTCTAGAGGCGGATACGCAGAATAAAAATGCGAGATTATCTGCTAGCGATAATGGTTATACCTGTGGTAGTCGCCCTTCATCTACCATAGGTGTGGGATCTCCGTCGCAGATGCGGGCGAGCTCGACCTCGATCTTGGAGCGGTAGGCGCGGATGGAGGCGGCGTGCGCGGTGCGCCTCGTTCCCGCGGCCCTCCTCCTGCTCGATGGAGGAGATGATCCTCCACGAGACCCTGCGCCGATGACGTTCTTGTAGGCGACGCACAGCAGGTTGCGCTCCTCCATGGAGAGCTCTTCCCCGTCGTAGCTTCCTATCAATTCAGGATGCCGGAAATCAAAGTAATTAGATTATACAAAGAATTGGGCATTAGAGGAAACAGAACAATATTATTATTATAATATAATCTATAAATAAAAAGGAAAATCCTAAGGCCACTTGTAAAATAAACGCTATGTTCAATTCATATTCAGATCAGAGGAAAACCAAAAAATATTTACCAAGCACGGTTGCTTCAGACATCTATTACTGGAGAAAACTGAACTTGAACCACAACTTACCTTTGAGATGGTTGGCTTTGGGACATTAATACTTTATAAGCAGAGGTCAGGGCAAACCATCTCCGTCTAGCAAATCATGTTCGTAAGATAATACAAAACAAAGAACTTGCTGAAAAAATAATGTAATGTAGATGCTATTGTCCCTCAAAGGCCTAATGTAAGTAGAGAGAGAGTGTGGCACTCAGCATGGGGGCGTTCCGTGAAGGAGGAGCAGACCTCGGCCATGGCGATGCCGCGATGCCGACGAACCAGGTGAAGAAGGAGACAACGACCTAGCCCCCGTACAGTGTCATGATCCCCGTGAAGAGCGTCATCATCGAGAAGGATATTGCCAGAGTCTTGAACAGCATCTGCAGGCACACGGCGCATGGGTGTACATCTGAACCCCCGGCGTGCACCCCGCCTAGCCGCCCCCCGGCGACGGCGGCCCCGACCGGCTTCATGCCTCGCCAGAGGCGGCACCAAGCCCAGCCCCCCGCCCGCGCCTCGCCCTAGCCCTGGCGGCGCACACCTGCCTCGGCCTCGCCTCTGGGGGCTCCCGATCCTGGCGCCCGAGATGGCGCCCGCCTCCAGGCCCTGGCATCGCCCGCCGGAACCAGCGCGCCGAGCATGAGCCATCGCCGCCGGCGCACGGAGCTAGGGTTTAGAGCCCACGCGTGGGGGAGAGGATTGGTGGAGAGGAGGAGCTGCGCATCGCGCTCTGGGGGATAGGGTCGCGCCTGGGGGAGAGGAGCTGCACACGCGTGGGGATAGGCGTCCGTGGGGGAGAGATCGAGGAGTCACGGCGTCGGTGAAGCGGGAGAGGTGCGTGGGGTGGGCAGGATGAGTGACGAGGTTTGGTGCCGGCAATCTCGTCCTGTTGGATACAAGTGAGCAAGAGAAAGAGGAGGGCACAGTGAATCTCGTCCTTTCATTTGAAAAGTCAACTGCTGCTGGGTGTAATTTGTTTGGTAACTTAGGGGGTGTTTGATTCTTTAGTTGCTCCTAAAATTCCTGTCACATCGAATCTCTCGTATAGCTTCGTCTTCTAGTGTACTCCGGGTATCCTATCCTTGCGTAGCTCTAGAAATTCCATCCTGGTATGTCCTCTTGTAGCTTAACTCCTAAAAAAGTAGAATGGAGGGGTTGAGTACATAAAGTACTCAGCAAGCCCTAAACTTTGGGTGAAGGAGAGGTGGAAGGAAAGGCTATATGTGGAGGTGGTTATGGTGGTGGAGGTGGATAGGTAGAGTTAGAAATAGTAAGGTGAAGTAGTTATAATTATAGGTTAGACTTGGGAGAGTATTATCATTCTCCCCAGTTCCCGAGGTTCATTATAATTACCAAATTAGTAAAATACATCTTACCAGATTATCACAGTTGTAGAAGTCTAATCATAGTATCCATCATAGCATCTGCCCATTCCAAGAACGTGCCTATTTGAATAGATTTAATAAAACTCTGCAGAGGGGTATAAATTTCCCCACATGATAGGCGTAGCCGACACCGGGGCCAGTGGCGCGACAGGCCTAACGAGATCCCGTACCCGCTTGGGGGCTACCCTAGATTTCTATATAACTCTTCTTGGCTCCCTTCCCCTGGGTATATAGCTGTGTGACACAGTGACAGTGTGAGTCTGTGAGAGCCTCAGAGGTGTTTGGCTGTTAGCTGGTGTTTGCCTGATCGGAGAACCCGAAGGCTGATAATCAATTACTTAGTCATCATAGTTTTCTTATTCCAAGGCCTCTTATTCCAAGGGCTCTGTTGCAACGATAGTGACATAGTGCAAACTGTATATAATTTCCACACATTTGTGAGCCACGAGGTGATGTTTGGTTTCAACTTTGTAAATGTAACATAAATGGGACCATGACACGGCGCTACTAGTTGCAGGTAATGGAAACCGTCGATTTGTTGCATCGTGAAATGATCATGGCCAAGAACCCCAAAACCAAACGACCCTATGACTGTAGTATTGTCCGTCTCCTCCTGATGAAAACCGAGCTTTAGTTATCTAGAGCCGGTGGTGGCGACGTCATGTCGTGTCCCTCTTGAGGGCGCCACTATGAGGGGTAGATTTCAGCTCATGCTATCGCAAAAGCCAATCTGTGCTTGCTGCATCCGTTAGGCAGGTACTCGGGGCGAAAGGCCTTCGACTTGGTGCTCTACTCATCGATGGTGGCGTCCGTGGACGTCACTCCCCCTCTTGATGGCATTGATGCAAGCACACATGCTTCCATGCCCCCCCCGGCCTTGAGCTCTCCCCGAATGCTCTCCTCCCCATTTTGTTGTTGGTATGGCTACCCTCCTATCCTTTGGCTTCTGCAAACACTACTTGCTGTTAGGTGCTCACCATCTCTAGCTTGCTCTGTCGTTCTCTAGATCACTTTGAGTGCTCTGCCTTATCATATACTGGGTTGCGGGGACCTTGATCTCCTCTCTAGATCTCCTCGTTCTTCTCCTGGCGATCCTCCCCCTTTGGGGCTTCCTTCCCCCAAATGGCGTTGGTGGGCGTCGGTTGGAGCTCAGATGCGCTCTTAGGTGATGATACTCACGACTGCCGCCTGTTAGCTCTGACTCAATGCCTTGCAGCTTCCTAGCTATCGACTATCGGATCCCACTCAATACCTTATAGCTGCATGTGGTGTGGAGCTCTTCGGAGTATGTCATTAGTGGTGGCATAGGTTAGGAAGTTGTGCTTGCAGTCGCTCCGGTTGGTAGGCTGACTTGGTAGCTGAATCATGTTGTGTTTGCTATTGTTCTGTTAAGTGTTATAATTCATCTCTCTTCTACTTGTCATGTACTTCTCTAAACTTATTGTATTGGGATTGGCACCACGCCTTTTCACCCCCCGGCTTGACCGGTATATGTGGAATGAAAATTTAGGTGGGGAGATCTTATCCTCCACTATGTTGACCTCAAAAAACCATCAATGACTTTATGCGTGGAGTGAATTAGGAAAAGTTATTTTTTTCCAGCTTCCAGTTGTTTGAAATAATTTCAGAGAATCACTACTCAGTAAAGAAATTGTTTGTAGAGAACGCAATCCACAGAGTATGCAAAAAGATTTCGAACCCACCACGATTTGGCGAGAAATCCACCAAAACTCAACGGACTTTAAAAGGCCCAACAGACACATAGGAGAGAATAGGGATGGCAACGGAGCATATTCGGACCAGGATACTTCACGGACTCGAACCTGAAACCCGAACTCAAAACCCGAAACTGCCCTGAACACCGGTTCAGGTGATAATCCAAATCTGAAACCAAACCCGATGGATACCAGAAACCCCCAAAACCCGAAACCCACCACTACATGGAAATACAAAAAAATAATAAGGAAGTTTTAGCAACATATGCATGATATATATTACATATTCACATTATAAACAAGAGGCAATAAACAACACAAAATTTCATGACTCAACTAAGAACAAATCTAATAGCTTATATAAACAATTTATTAATAAAACACATGAGTTTTTTTATTCAAAATGTCTATTTCGGACCTTCATTGGGCATCCGCGGGTGAAAACCGAAACCGAACCCAATAAGTTTTGGATCTCCAAACCCGAAAACCATGGAGGGAAAATTGAACCCGAACCCGAACCCGTTAGACCTGAAACCCGCGGATATATGCCCGAACCCACCCCGCTGCCATCCTAGGGAGGGATCCCTCTCATTCCTTTCCTTTTCAACTGCCCCCTCATGCACAATCAAGTCACCACCATCTCCCTCGCCCCTAGATTTAGTCTAGAAGCTGCTACCCCAAACAAATCCTAAGTATTACAGTAACACTCTGCAGGCTACTTAGAAAAGTTCTCGTGATATTTGTACCATCATGTTAGTTTTTTTTTCTCTCTATGCTAGTCATCGGCACCATTATCCCTCTCCTCCGTCATCCCCCAATTTGTTGGCATATGTTTTTGGAAGTTGGTGGAACCACATTGAATTTTTCACTTACCCTTTGTTCTTGTGGTAAGGAAAGGTTGAACCGTTGAAGCTGGAGCCATTGGATGCCAGAGTCTTGCTGTCACCATGATGCAGCCACCATTGTTGTTGTTTGTGGCTATGACAATAGTGGTTCGTGGACTTGCTCGACGCTGAGATCTTGCAATCAACCTCTTCGAGAAGAAGAATGGACTGGGCTTCCAAGAAACTAGGTGTAGAGTATTTGTCTTAATGATCGACGTGGTAGGTATCATACTCTCATTCAACCCATGGAGAAGGGTGAGAACGAGAGTGGGATCAAAGACAGACTACTTGACACGTCAGCGAGGGCGTCAATGTAGGACTTAAGGTGTTGAGCGTAGGTGAGGATGTCCAAGTTGTGGAACTCAGCCTCTAGGGGAGAGCGCAAATGAGGTCTTGTTGCGGTGGAACAAGTTCTCGATATTGATCTGGGTTATGCACATTGACACACGAGGAGTCATGACAATGCTAAATATAGTCTCGGAGATGGATCCATAGACGAGGGAGAGCACATAGTAGTCTATGGTCCATGATGACCCATGCAACACAAATAGGATCGACATCCTCAGGAGCTGGTATGCCATCAATGTGTCGGTAGCCCCAAACTTTTTGACAAGGAACTCGAGGGGTTTGTGCCTGCGAGAGTAGTTTGGGGGATGGAGGGAGAGCAAGAATGAGATGTGAGTGCACACGTTCAACATGGAGAGAGTAGAGGAAGGGCAGCAGTGAGCACCACAATGCAATATTGTGTGCATCGCCAACCACACTACACCGCAACACCGAGGTTGGCAATGGACAATCTATCGCTAAAAGCAGATATAGCGATAGGCTATCTGTGGCTAAAAAGTTATAGCGACAGGCCATGGGAGGGTGCATCAAGGTTTTTAAGCTAGTACCATGAAATAGGAAATATTTTTGGAGAATGAAAACCCAATTCTCATTGATGAATAGACATGTATATATGCACAATGTACAGCTTGTTCACAGGGCATTGATCCATCAATGTATATACAAGAAATATGCTAAATAATATCTACTATACAAGGCATGCTCCTACCGCGCATGGTTGATGTGCTGGATGATGAATAGAGATGCACATGTATTGTTTTAACAATGCCTCCGTTTGGTTTGGCTCATGTATTGTTTTAACTCGGCTCTGCAGTTTTTAACTAGGAATGGGAGGAGCTATGTTTGAAGTCGTAATTAGAGAGAGCTCCAGGCCCTACTACTAGAGAGAGCTTTTCTTTTTTCTCTCTTCTTGGAGAGAGTAGTGTCTTTTTGTTAATAAGGTAATAGTGCATATATGGACCCTATTTCGATGAGCTTAGTACTAGCTAGGTGCACAACAGTTAAAACTAATTGTTAGATAAAATTAATTGACGTATGTTTGGATACTCCCTTTGTCCTGCAGTAAGACAATGCATTATATTTCTATAAAATTTGTAGAGTAGGTTTTATAGTTAATGTCTCTTTTACCCTTGGTACGCGCACATGAAGCTTGGAAGGGGTAGGTGGATAGGAATATTTTGGGTCTTTTCTAGATCCATTAGCTCATTTCAACCATATAATGGACTAGCAATCAGTAGTTAGCTAGGATTCAGTTTAATAATCAGCTCATTTGTTAGCCCTCCTGTGATAAATTAATTAGAGTTAATTTTTAGCTGGCTATAAGCATTAGCCTCTAGATCAAAGAGGTTCGTATATAATTTCTGTATACGGGAGCGACGGACGAAGTCAACTCACCTACCGTGCCGTGTCGTGTCCTTCAAGGGCCAGAATGCACCTGGACTTTGTCCCGGTGATCGACCACCAGCCCGTCTCTTAATTAATGGAGTACATATTTTCCGATTAAAAACAGATTTTTTTACAAATTGAGCAGCAGATCGATTAGCACTGTGTCATAGACAGATCATCTACCTCCCCACGATATCTCGCAGATTTTGTGCATATAGCTGGTAATGGTAAATTCGAAATCGGCCGAGATTTACATTGATGTGTCAAATAAATATGAAATATTTGTTATATAGGAAAAAGTCCAATTTACCTTCTTAAGTGTATACATCGTGGCCGTCCAATTTTTTTCCTTGGACTACAAAACCACCTTTTTTTTACCTTTCTCAACTTTTAAAAACCATTTATTTTTACACTTTGGGTGATTTTGATGGTGGTTTTGCTGATGTAGCGCCATGTTAAATCAAAGCACATTGAACGTTTAGGTCAGGGTATAAATATATTTTTTAAAATCCAAAAGTCATAAAAAGTATTTTTTCAAAAAAAAATCCAAATAGTTTTACATGAAAAAACAATGCAATTAAAAAATCCTAAAATCGACGGCCTGACGCGACGACGAGCCACACAAGTCACAACCTATCACCTATAAGTAGCTTTCTCCCCCGTCAGTCGTCACCACTCCGCCAACGCATCACGCATCCCAGTTGGTCTTAGGCTACTCTCAGCTCAGAGACTAGCTAGCTGTCGTAGACATGGCTTCCGGCACCTCGGCGGCGGCGTTGCTCCTCCCTGTACTTGTCTTGGTGCTCTTCGCCGCCGGTAAGTGTTGCACGTACGAAACAAGCATTATTGCATGGATCGATGCGTTGCATGCATGTTAACTGACGGAACGGCGGCTGCGCTGAAACTTACACATACTCCATTTAGCAGCTAGTGCACGACGAGCTGACGACGGCGCCATCGAATTCTCGCCGCCGAGAGCGCGCCGTGCTGGCCCGGTGCCCGTTGATGGAGTAGTCCGGACGGAGAAGGAGAACTGCCAGCTGATTCGGGTGCCGAGCCTCGTGGACGCGTGCCGCAGTGCCCCCGGCCTCCCCGCCTGCGCGGCGCAGTGCGTCGTCTACCACTACCGCGGCGGGTACTGCGACATGCTGCCCCACGGCAGGCCCGGCGACTGCTACTGCACCAACTGCCTAGTCACCACCCAGGCGTAATGAAGCCACCATCTAGGCCGGCCGGCGGAGTCGCCTCGCCGTGTCTCGGTCTCCGACGGATGATATATGATCGGAGCTGGCAAACCATCAGGGCCAGGGGAAAATACTTATTAGTTGAGTCCTACTATTTTTTACATATCTGCATTTTGAGCTACTACTTGGGACCGTGGTTCTTCGTCAATTGATGGTGTCTCTTCCTTTCTCATTCATTTCCTAATATTATTGATCTGCAAGGCGATCAAGTTTCGTTTATGTTTAGATTCTTTATTTAGTGAAATGAATGAATTAATAAAAGAAAACAGCGTTGGATGGTTGTACGTATTCCGGCATTGCCAGCTGAACTAGAAGAGAAGCCACATTATATATATGTTCAGATTTAGGTCCTCCGATCCTAAGGTAAAATGATAAAGTTAGGAAGAGAAATGACAATGAGAGATCATCGTTCCAAAATGAGATTCTAAAATTCAGCTACCCACTCGAAACTTGGCACGCGGAGAGATTCTCACAATTCCAAGCCAATAGCCACTATGAGAATAACAAGATCTACAAACACTCATTTTTTTAAAAAAAATCTAAAATCCAAATTCTACTCGACTATTTAGAATCATTACGAGAATGAGGTCCAAATAGGGTAAAATCAGATATTAGCCAAGTTCATAAAATGGGTACTTTATGAAATAAAGAAAAAAAATTGGATGATGATTTTTTTTTCAAAACATATGAACCACTCGGGTTGAAAAGCAAATGGTTCCAATAGTAGTTGAGTGGGGACACATACATCCAATTTTTCAGATAAAGGAGAAAAACACATTTTTCCTTAAAAATAACATTGACATTAGTTTGTACTAATGTGTTGGGTTATGATCCCTGGTGTCTCGAGGCACCTATTAGTTAGCAGGCCGAGCGCCCACAATACATCAACTAGCGAATGCCTGAACGATCGAGGCCTAGCTGAGCCAAGTGAACCAGGCTGACGCCAAGGCCAGGGTCAACCACGACCCCTCCCTTATGCCTTAGCCGCACGACGCACGAGAGACTCACGACCTCTCCATTGTCCCGACCCTGGGAGGAACGGGGAGAGATCAAACCTAGCCAAGCGTGCCCGCTCTGACAAGAGTAGACACGCTTTGTACTGACCCCGCAAGGACCGAGGGAATAGCGGTCACCTCGGTCCGATCAGACGCCATCCATATACCACGCAGCACAGACAAGACAACACCGCACGGCGGTGGCTGCCAGTATGGCAACCCACCGTCCAAATACGGTCCTATAAGACACATGTATAATTCTACCCACCATGGGATGGGATCCTTGACGGAGGCCTTGACTTAGAGGCCATCTAAACCAACAGGAGCCACTACCCCGAAGCTCGGGATCATGGCCTCTCACTCCACAAGCTAACTGGACGCTCGGCGACCTGGGGGCGGCCACCAACTCCTGTACGGCGCCCCTAGAACATCAGGAGACGATGACGAAGACCACAACGGAGACCACGTCGCATAGGATGGCTAACAAACCACAATCGTGCCAACAGTGCCACCATGGCCGGTACAGTTGCACCACACCACACCTTACCGCGACGTGGGCACAAGACCATGACGACAACCATGCCCGGACGTGCACCACATGATGAAGTAACTTGCAAGCCAAGATAGCTAGGCCCCTCCCTCAGGCTCACGACCCCTCGGTCAGGAGAACCTTCTTCTTTGTACATGCCCTGGCCCCGAACTCTATATAAGGGTAACCAGAGCATCCTTCATCTAGATCTTTGACACATTCACACCGTAGTAGGGCTCTTGAGGCTTCCCTTCAGATAGTCCATCTACTAGCTCTAGCTCTCCTACCTCTTCCACCATTCTTGTACCCCTTATTGTAAGAACTTCAGAGCATTCAAGCGAGGAACACGCACTCGATCATCTCTGAGACTAGACGTAGGGCTCTGACCTGAACCAGTATAAATCCTTGTGTCTTTTGGATGCTACCATCATCTTCCTAGAGCAGCGCGACAATCGTATAAGTTTACTAGTCTAGTTTACAAAACACCAACATAATGGTCTGCATCCCCCTCCCCAACAGACAATGAGATACTAATTGTGTCGGTGCGAAAAGTGACCAACAAGAAAATATTTGTAGTTTTGTCATGCGTTGTGATCGGATGTGGCCTAACACTCGATGACATAGGATTTATACTGGTTCAGGCAATGTGCCCTATGTCCAGTTTCAGTCGGTCGGAGACTTTATTCCTGAGCCCAGGTGCTTGAAGTTTGTTGTGGGGTTACAAACGAGTAGGAATAAGAAGAGGGATGTTAAAGGCCCGGTCGGACTCTGAACCGGAGGGCCAAGAGTGACAAAGGCTCTAACATGCGCTAAGTATTGGAGCGTATGCTTTGTGTAGCTTTAGAGTTCTAGAGCTATTGTGCTATTTGAGTTCTCAGATCCTCGAGTGCTTGAATCGTCTAGCTTCTCTTTTTGAGGAGAACCGGAGAGTCCGTTCCTCAATAGCCAGAGAGCTCATCCCCTTTTATAGTCGAAGGGGATGGGCTCTTACAAATCAGAGAAAGAGAGAGAATGTATATGTGTGCTACCTAGTCTTAGTGCCCATGCTGTCGGGTACGAGACGGTTGTCGGCATCCACAATATTATTTATGTCCAGATGCATGTGGTAGGCTCTACCGTGTTCGCCTGGTATGGCAAATGTCGGCGCCCACAATACTATTTGGGTTCTGACACACTGGAAGGTTGCATAGTGCCTATCTAGCATGGCCTAGTGGCATCGTCCTATAGGTGCATAGGGTATGGCAGGGTACAGTCCTCGGTATTGCGGTTTGACTTGAATGTCTTACCTTATCTACTCCGCCTGATCCCCGGGCCCTTACCGATCGAGCGTCCTCGGTCGGTTGTTCCCAGTTGGCCCCGACCATGTCGGTCGGGGAAGAACTGCAAGCAGAGGTTCGGCGTATCCCCGGTCGAAAAAGAAGGTCAGAGTTAGACTATGTCCCCTCTTTGGCTAGTCCTTTTGGTCAGGGACCAGATTGTTCTCCTGGCCTATCATTAGGTATCTAGGCTGGCCCGGGAGGCGCGCGTTGTTGCTATGCCGTCTGCTGGGCCGAGCTTTTGTTGGGAAGCGGGCCCATTGGAGACCCTAGGTTTATGAACCCAACAAGAGCCCCCGAACCCTTTTGGGACTTCTGTGAAGTCATGAAGGGGTTGTTTATACTTGTTTTATGAGTGCACCCGGTGGGTGTAAGATCGTGGGTCGTCGTCGGATGAGACAGAGCGCAAACCTGAAGTGTCGGGCATGGCCGAGGGTCAGGCGAGATGGAGCGCCAACCCTAGTGTGTCGGACGCGGCCGAAGGGTCGGGCAAGATGGAGCGCCAACCCAAGTGTCGGTCGTGGCCGAGGGGTCGGGCGAGACGGAGCGCCAACCCAGGTGTCGGGCGTGGCCGAGGGGTCAGGCGAGACGGAGCGCCAAACCTGAAGTGTCGGGCGCGGCTGAGGGGTCAGGTGAGACGGAGCGCCAACCCAAGTGTCAGGCATGCCCGAGAGGTTGGGCGAGACGGAACACCAACCCAGGTGTCGGGCACGGCCAAGGGGTCGGGCAAGATGGAGCACCAAACCTGAAGTGTCGGGCGTGGCCGAGGGGTCGGGCGAGATGGAGCGCCAACCCAGGTGTCAGGTGTGGCTGAGGGGTCGGTCTAGTTTCGTGTGTTACTCCGTCCATGGTTTCTGCAACCAGAGGGGTGGAGCTAACGTTGCTTGCCTCGATGGCTCGAGTGACGCGCTCGGTGAGCTTAATAACGGGTACGTCCGAGTGGAATCTGGTTCCATCGTTTGTAATGGGGTCGGCATAGCCCTCATGTGGCATTCCACTGCCCCTTAACCCGCCTCTCGATAGATGCCCGAGCCATTCTGGAGACCGACTCAGGTGGCCCGCTGGCCTCCCCTCGATGGAGATTCTGTGGGCATGGCTCGAGGTAAGGATCGAACGAGAAGGTCAAGATGACCCTGTCCGCTTCTGAGCGGATTGGGCGAGGGCTGTTGGGGCTCTTCTGCATTTTCTCCCCTGGCTATGTTTGACACGAGGCGGCCTCGTGCCCTTTGCGGGTCAGCCTTCGAACCTCGGTTGGTCGTCGCTCATATCGAATGAGGTGACTACCGCTTCACGACGCAACACGAAGCATTGTGATGCAACAACTGCATATGCAATGCTTGGATGTATGGATGAATGTATGAATGCATGCACGAGAATGGATGAATGAATGATTGTGCACTAGAAAACAAAAAAGGGGTTTTGGTAAGGTTACCTCGATGGCTCGAGTGACGGGTCTGGGGAGCTCCTATCGGATATGCCCGAATGGGATCCATGTCCATCGTTCATGACAAGGTCGGCATAACTCGCACGAGTGTAAGGTCCTAATATGGCTAGAGGGGGGGTGAATAGCCTATTTAAAATTCTACAAATCAACTAGAGCAATTTGATTAGTAAGACAAATAGCGTAATGCAAACTTGCTCTAGCTCTACGAGGGTTGCAAGCCACCTATCCAACAATTCTAGTTGCAATGATTACTAGACACACAACTTGCTATGATACTACTCACTAAGAGCTCTCAAACTTGCTACACTAAAGAGCTCCACTAGATGAACTTAAATAACAAATCAAGCTCTCAATTCTAATTACACTAAAGAGCTTGCCACAACTAGTTTGTAAGAATATAAAAGAGTGAGTAGGGTGATTATACCGCCGTGTAGAGTGATGAACCAATCACAAAATGAAGATGAAATCAATCACCGAGAGAATGCCAAATGGCAAGAGACAACCGATTTTCTCCCGAGGTTCACGTGCTTGCCAACACGCTACATCCCCATTGTGTCAACCAACACTTGGTGGTTCAGCGGCTAAGAGGTGTTGCACAAACCTCGTCCACATGATTGGACACTACAAGAACCTACCCACAAGTGAGGTAACTCAATGACACGAGCAATCCACTAGAGTTACCT